ACTTCTTTCTTTTTCTGTGGGTGAACCTCTACATGATCACGGACACATATTTTCATGACCCCTCCCTTTTCAGCAGTCTCAAAAAGCTGTGACCCTCCCTCTGTTCCCCCCCCCCCATCAAATAATAATATTGCTTAAAGAAGGGTGGATTTTGCTTTGACGTTAAGCAAGCTTGATCTTACGCAGTTTATACCAGACGAAGACCTCCAAAATGGGGGCACATTTGGCTACTACCCCGTCAAATAGAAATATATTCACCTGGATAGTGAGAAGATCTTTAAATGTAATATCACACAAAACGGAACTAAAATTGAATTTGCTTTGCGAGAAATTCCCATTTAAATCTTTCGTTTCAAAATTATAACTTGATTTAGTTTTTTAAATATTTTTATTGATATTGATGGAATTGATGGTACTAATTTTTGTTGTCTATATCTGAAATGACCAACCCTCTCCTCTCAAAAGTAAAATTAAATATATGAGTAATACCTTCACACTAGAAAGTTTGTTTTAATGACCCACACCTCCCCTGATAAAAAATAGTGCCCAATCTTATGGGGAACGGGAAGCTTGATCCGTCCGCCAATTTGTCTTTTTGTCAGCACAGACGACGTCACTCATTTTTAGCTTGCTCTTCGCCACAAGCAGCCCAATAATAAAACATGCTAAACCTCTAAATTTAAGTCGTCTTTTGTTTTGTTTCAGCATTCAACAACGTTGAAGACATGATTGTATCTCTGACTGGGGGAACAGTTGTGAGGGGTTTACTGTTAGATAGACACGTGGCTGTATCGAATATGGGGAAATTCCGAGAGAATTCACTGGAAATTGGACGAACCCTGGATTATGATTACTACATCGGGCTGTGCGTCCGACCTCCTTACAACTCAACGGTCTGTGAAACTATGAAGAAATGCGTTCAAGACATTGTACAAAGCCAAGCATTTGAACTGGAAGCTTTAAAGGTTTGTAACGATACGATCATAATAAGCAGTTATTAAATTCAGCTTTCGTATGACCTGCATATTTCCTCAGATCATACGAATGCCGAATCCAATAATTGTTTTGTTATTGATTCAAAATAATTTACACTTTTAACCTTTATTACATCGATTGATGTTAAGTTCCCGTCTTCATTTCTCTCTTCTCCGGCAAACTCAGACTGTCAGAGGGATGGTTTGTTTAGCAGAGATTCTTGAAATGACAGTTGTCATTCGTTGAGTTGTATTTTGGCTGTCTTCTCTATGTTTAGCAATTCCTTCTTGACGGTCATTTCAACAAAACGTACAAAATTTTCCGCCATTTTCTCCAGCTCTACTTAAACAACTGATCTGAGCTAACAAAACCTCACTACAAGGTTTCTCGGTGGCCATCCAAACTCCAAATTTGAATAGAAACATAAATCAATGAACAAAAATACAGCTACGAAAAAATATATATTTAAAACATAACCGGTTCAACTATGTCTTCTTTAATTCTTCTTGACTGTAATTTGTGCAAATTGGCTGCCCATAACTCTTTTGGGTTTCTTATATAATACTTTTTGACCTTTTCAGTAAATTTGCTAACAATTGGTTCCGCCCGCCGTGACGTCAGTCGTTTTCTTTGTTTTTCTTTCTAGCAGCTGTTATCCCGCGAAGTTTCCGAGGAGCAAAACACGAAAGAATCTTCTAGTTTGTTTGATGATTACGATTTTCTCATCATTCTTCTTGTTCTGTTTGCTGTTCTTGTAAGCGGTGGCCTCCTGTGGGAATATTTTTACTATAAGCCTAAAATGGAGCGTATAAACAAAGTCAATGGTGAGTAGTACATGAAGCTCTGTTCCCTGAGCATGCTCCGTCGGTGGAGAAAAACAGAACGTTCCAAATCGCTTTGTTATACTTTTGGTGTTAATGAAGACTAATGACAGTTTTAAAATGAAATTTAAGAAATTTTAATGACTAAACATAACTGCTACAGCAATAACAGTTCGTCTTAAATAATGATGAAATCCTTGATAGTTTTTTTTTTATTTTTCTAAGAACTGTCCAAGTGCTAATGCTTGCCAGAAAAGGTGCTTGAATTTAAGATCTCAGGAATGGAACGGATGCCAGGTCAAATGACCAAGCTGTTTCGGCTATCCGGTAACACACGAGTGTTGGACTCGATGGTGTGGCTTGTTATGTTGTGATCGAAAACAGAAGAAATGGGAGGAGGAGGGCAAAGGGAAAAATGCTATTCAACGGGCTTGACTGTGGTTTTAAACTTTTATAAGAACTTATTATCTTTTTTCGTTTTGCATGTCAAAAAGATGAATATGAAATGCAAGAACAAGAAAAGGATTCGGACAAGGCAGTCCTCTTAAAAAACGAAGTAGAAGAACTGTGCGAAGAATGCAGAGCTAAAGTAGAACACATTGTCAAGGAAGAGGGAAAACAGAGACTACAGGATCTTCAGACAGTAGTCAGTCCATTTGATGGCTTCGCTATCATCGGAAATCAGATAAGCTCTATTCCTGGTGTTTCCTCCATCAGGAAGATTGGTTCAGAGCTGCCAAATAATGTTCAAAATTTGACGCGCTTAGGAAAGAGGAACAGACAAGATAAACTTCAACCAACATGAATACAGTGATGACCTTTTAGAAAATAGAGAGAGACTGAGCATAATTCCTTCAAAGGATTACTATAATTAGTAAAATGAACGCCAAATTTTGAATTTTGGCAATGCATGAGCAACACGTGTTGATCAGGTCCTAATTTTTTCAAATCTGTCGAAGAGTTTTCGGACCTGTGGCCCAGTAACCATTTGGGGCCCGAAAGCAAATATTTAATCACAGTCTAAAGAGTAACAGTACCGCTCAATACTAGCTAACAAACCTTTTCATTTTGTTCCGTTCACTGATAGTGTTATTATAATTGTTGCAAAACTATTGAAACGTTGATCCTGATTGTAAACAATCTCAGCTCTCCGGACGGGCCTCTGGAAACTGTTTTTCTCTCATTTTTTTAACGATTCTTGGGAGTTTTTGTGTAAAGAAGGCCAACATATTTCTCAAACTTGTAAAGCTTTCAACATTTGAAATTTATTATCGAGTTTCTCCTAATGAGCTTTGTACACTAAAAAGAGTTTTCCGGGACCGAAATGTTTTTGGGAACTCTGAAAGGCCTAGTTGTTTAACAGGCAATAACCGCAAACCTAGGCTTATAAACCTATATGCTCTTGCATGTATCCTTGTTGTTAACCAAGAATCGCCGCAAACCAGGCTTCGAAAACCTCAGCATTGATCTCTAAGGAAGAAGCCTGACTAAGGGGTAACATTGGATTGGAGCCTGTCCCAAGAGTCTCTCGGAGTGTATATTAGGCGGCGGATACCTAAGGCCTAAGGTTCGTCTACTGGATAAACCAGGTATAAAAGTAAAAAGGCACGCAAAGGACAAATGTGGTCAAAAGCTGATCGACAGGTCCCCAACTCAATGAACCATTCGTAGACAATGGAAATAAAGTGTCTCTCACGCCTTTTGTCAAACATTTGTTGGGAGGAGCGTTGTGTGATGACACTAAGAACGGCTGTGTAGCAGACTATTACTGATAGGGTTGACAAAGTATGTAAAATTAAAATCAATAATCTATATTGAGATCAAAACGCCATGCTTTATAGAAGTGGAAAAAAAAAAAGAAATAAAATAAAAACTGTTTCACCTAAATTAGCGGTGAAACTGACAACCTAGGGGAACATTGCCTTTTTTACTCCGTTTAAGATGGTTTTCACATGACGTCACAGCAGCCATATTGGTGAACAAAAAAATGAAATGGCGGTCATGTTATTGCATGTGGGCATTAAACTCTTTTCTAATGCAAAAAATTTCCTTTGTTGGGTTCAATTCCATTACATTGATAGAACTGCACATACATTTCAAGCTGAGAATTTCCGATTACGCAGTCATCCAGAAGTATCTGGAATGTTGCAATGCGAATTTCAGGGCTGAAAATATTTGGTTTCCGGATTCCGAATTACACAACATTTTCTTCCTCGAAAACCTTGATTTCCACCTTGTAATCCGTAAGAGATACCATAAACTCACAAGACACAGTCTAGAAGTTCTGTTCAGGGTTTAATTCAATTTACTTTCCAAAATTTTAAGTTTCATATGTCTTACAATACAAATTTTTCAAACAATAAGTTCAAGGAAAAATGCTCTAAGATAATGTAACCTACGTCGCTACTAAAGTATAACAGACTAACGGCAGCTTTTTATCCTATAAGTCATTCAAAGCCCGCAAATAACAGTCTTAGAGTGTTGATGATCGACAGATTATCAGGATTAATTCAGTTATAATTCAGAAAGGCTTTGTTCAGTACCGCAGGGTTTTAATGGCCCAATAGTCGCGGTACTAACGGGTTCCTTTGGTATAAACACACGAAACTCGAGTAGATATAAAATAAAATTTATACTTAACCGTTAAAGATCTAAAGTTGTCAGTCCTTATTCTTGTGTCAAAATTTCTTGGAATAACAAATTACCATTCTCTTTATATAACTTTATTATGTATAAATTTGCAATGTTATAAAAGGCTATTATCGAAAATTGCAAGAAAAACTTATCTAAATCTTTTATAGCAAACTAACAAATATTTTGTGTTTCTAAGGTTCCGTCCACAATGTTGCGGATAAATTTGAAAACAGATAAATTTGATAATGCCGTCTGAAATGATCTCGATTCAAACCAATCCGGATAAATTTCAAAACGCATTCCTTTGTGCTTCTCTGGTTTGGCCAAAAAAGGAAGAAAAATAGATTTTTCCGACACTAATCCGGATACATTTGAAAAACGTAACGTTGCCATGAAACTAATATTATGATTAATGTAACCTCAGCGTTTCAGGAAAAGTCGTTTCAAGTATATCCGGTGTAGTGCGGAGGACAACTGCTTACAAACTTTACCATTGATTGGTTAAATCGCTCAAGAATTTTGGCCACGATACTTACAGTTTTTAGGCCATCGCGCGCTACGAGAATCGCGTCCTGCGCTACAGGAATCGCGTAGCGCGCGAAGCGATTCACTTCTCGCGAGAGGGTGGTAACTTATACTTTTGAGCGGTACTGTATGTACGTTGTAAATACCGACTCCAACTTAGCTATAAGCGACTGGTACTGCGGTCAAATGGCTATTTTGAACAACACCATAATACTCTCTTAAGCGCTGGTTTGGGTACATGTAGTTCTGGGTGTTTATATCATTAGCTTCTCAACAGTTGCATTTCCCAGAAAATTCCATATCACGCAGCATTAAAATAATTATACCCTAGTCCAGTCCCTTCCCTGGGGAAAGAAAGCCCTTATATTTTCTCTAAATTTAACCCGCTTAAGTACGGACACTTTCTATGGACCACTCAGTGTCCGTATTGACGAGGTTTGACTGTACTTGCTAGAGTAATCACGATGCTAAGGCTGAGAAAGTACTACAGTCTTTTTGAAATGGTTAACGCCTTCTTCAAGATGGCGACAACTTTCTTTTTTGGAAGGGGATGGCGGGAGGGCGGTTGCTGGCTTCTTAAATGGTAAGCTAGTATTTACTATTTGGTGGTAACCAAGTCGGGTTTGAATTACGTTGCTAAGCAACCATTTCATATCCATCACTCCAGGCAAGAATGCCCATAATTAGAATGTAATTCAAGACTTTGAGAAATATTGATGACGAAGAAGAAACTTTGGAAGTACTGGCAAAGACGTTTCATTTGAACAATCACGTCACATCAAAAGTTAAAATTATATTACATGTTTTGCTGATTGATTTTGAATCAGAATGGTAACAATTTTCCCATGCTAAGGCATATCGCCTCTCTGTACATTATAGGCGGTTTATTTGCTTTATAGTGTGGTGAACCAGGGTAGACGGGTTCGAATTCATTCAATGTGTTACTTGGCACGGCCATCTTGAACAAAGCGTTAAACTAAACATAACCCAGTAACCTGGTACCGAGTTAAAACACATTAGAAGTCTAAATCTTACTCTCTTGACAATCCATGTTGACGACATTGTTCGTTAATACAACTTGATCGTTTTTGTCCTCAGTTAAGCGCTTCCGGCGATAACTTTCATAGTGAATTGTATCTGTCACTTCTTTTAGATCTTGCATGTGTGTTCTGAAAAAATATATAATGAAATAAAAACCAGCTACTGGCCTGAAAGGGCTAAGATCACTTTACACAGGGGAAACAGTCTTAAAAGGACTCTTGCTCTGAGACAGTAAAGTTCTGTACAGTCAATTATCGCCTTGCCGACACCTTGCTATTAAGGACACAGAGACATTACGGAAAGCAGCTGAATCCCCGCAAAAAAAAAAAAATAACTACAGGCGTTTCACTGAAAAAAAAAAAAAACTTACCGCTCTTTCGAAATGTCGCTACATGTATTTAAGACACTAACGTGCTGGTGTTGACTGTACGTTGTGGTAGGAATTTAGTACGAATCTAATGAACTTCAAGTTTTAATACCAGAAATCAGATCATCATTATTACCCCGTCTTAGCCGTTATGTTCGGATATGATCACTTTTATGCCTTCCCTATGATAATAACGAGAAAGTATATGACTGTAGAAAATCAATACTTATCTTCGTTCGTCTCTTCATTTATGTTTAACGCGTACAATCTTGGGGAGGATAAAATGGAACAGCAAACCCCCTTCTGCCCGAAAACAGGGATGAGCGGACGCGCGAAAGCCAAAATGCGCCATTGCTTTAGGGGCTTAACTGACACTGACAGTTAATGCTTTCAATTGATTGCTAAAACTTGTTAGCTTCAGAAATCCATAACAACAACAGACTGCTACCCTTACTTGATTAGCATGTCTCTCAACTGAGCAAATTCACAGTGGTTCTTGTTTTCAACTGAAATGAGATCAAAATAAGTAAAAAATTGATATCAAACCTGAATTTTCGCAGAAGTCTTGTTTCAATCAAGAAAAGCGAAACATACATAGTAGCTAATAAGATTTTGGCTTGGTTGTTTAAATTTTCTTTATATTTTTTTGTTTTTGTATACAGATGGCAAAACTATACATAAATTCAGGTCAATTTTAAAGCACTAAAAAAACCAGCTAACTTATTCATGCAGTTTTCACCTTCAATAAGACCCCATTTCGTCTTTCTCCCAAGAACTGGTTTCCCGGACACGGTAACATAGCGATCACTGCCAATAACAGCAAAGGGTAGCTGGTCCTTAAATAACAAAACAATGCCGAACATCAAGATAATTATTAGTAATGATATAACTAGTGGGGGAGGAGGGAGAAATATGATTTTTACTATACTGTATATCACATGATATGAGAACACAATGAACTAACTTGCCTGCAGTCTTTCCTTGAGCTTTTTCAATAATTCAGAGAGAAACCTAACCTGAAATCAGGCCCAATTTTAGCGGTTCGCATACATTCTCTCTAACGGCTACCGCTAAAATTGGGCTCTTTTTTCGTTTCGCCATGCCCGCTGGAATGTAATTTTCAAAGCGAAACGAAAATAGAGCCTGATCTCAGGTTAGGAGAAACCTGGCGACAAGTTGAATGGATGGTTAAAGCAGGGTAACACTATCACGGTCAAAAGTTTCTGGTAGTCTTTTTTTTTATATTAGAGTGCTTAATCAGCAAGTGTTCTTGAGATCAGATGTAAACACAGACAAGACATCCATGACTCGCGTTATGCAAAAAACCAATCATTGCTTAATTTTCGCTTTTCGCGCCGCAAACGCTAGCTGTTCTCGATCCAGCCCGGGTGCAACCTTTCTGATGTCCGTTCACTCGGAGTATTTCGTGTATTTGAGAAAGATGTTTGTCGCCGAAGCGGTTAGTACTTTTTCTTCGTCCCGTTCGCCCTATTATGGGTTTAAACATCAGCAAGGGTAGGTAACGTAGATGGTGAGTGAAATTCACGCAGGCTTTTCAAGCAAAAAAAGAAAGAGTTTTGATACTGTGCCCGGTACATACAGGTATCTAATGTTGCGTTGTCAAAAATTGATGGACGTTATAGGCTTGTCAAGGAAAAACTGCAATATCAGATATATCAGTAAAACATATACATGTATTTACCATGACATACAAAACCTTTCGATGCGACGATGGTGAGGGCAACGAGAACGTCAAAACAAAGAATAGGTTGGATAAGAAAAACAACAACTTTACACGTGCAACACACTTTTTTGTACACTTCTATGCCGTCGCGGCACGACTACGACGTGAAAATGCCTAACTTCACGTTGTATGGAGGACTTCAACAAACGAAGAAGTTTTCTTTCTCTTTCTGAACTTGGATATGGTTCTTACGAATTTCAACTTCAGGAGAGTTCGCCTACATTTGACAAAGTAAAGGAGTAATTAGAATAATCGCGAAGAAGATTGAAAGAACACGAATTCACTTTTTAAGCGACGTTTTCGCTGCTATCGCGGTCCTTGGATCTTCAGTTACGGTCCATAATATCTTACAAGGGCGGTAAAAAGTAACTCACTCTGATTCTTGAGGTTGTTCTGGCTTCCTCTTCATCGAGGTCATGTCGATCAAGGATAGGATAAATGTTGATGTGATTCTTCTGTATGTCTTCGCGTAGCTGAAATGCAAATTAACCGAACAGAAATACTAAATGTGGCATAGTAACCGAAATACACAGTCAGTGACAGTAAGAAGTTACAAGTACATCTAACGTTGGAAAACGTCTGGCATATTAGTATATTCTTTAATTAAACTTTCAGATAAACTTGTTTAGATTGGCCTTTCCTATTCAATACATCAACAACATAAGTGAAAGACGTCCTATCCACGTATTCAGTAATTTTTCTCTGCACTCAAAAATCATTTTGAGAACGAGGACAACATGTTCTAACAGTATAGCGGATATGTCGATGTGTGACATTTGAAACTATAGCTGGAATCCGTTGTTCATTAGTTATAGCACTCAGCCGGTATCGGATGGGGAGAGAGGTCACAAGCTCGTCTCATGAGATAACCAACATCACACTTTCCTTCAAATAGGACTTAACTTGTTGTTGTTGTAGTTTTTTGTTTGTTTGCTTTAAATGTCATTCGTTTGGTCTTTCAGAAAAAGTCGCGTTACTTACCCGTCGTCTGAAAGCCTCGCGTTCCTCTATAGTAAGTGTATCTGCCTTTGCAATTACAGGCACGATGTTAACACACTTGTCTAATCTCTTCATGAATTCTACGTCAATAGGTCTCAATCTACAAGACACAATAGTAGATTAAAGAATTAAAGACAGTAAAAATCACCTGGAAATGTCATTCTTTGAACGACAACTTTTGCGCACTTCAAACAGTCTGTACATAGCACATTCTGATTTAAATTTTCAAAGACTATTTCTCTATCAAAAGATTACAATATTATTACGTATAGTTCCATATACACTCATTACAATCAGAAATGGCGTCATTAAAAAGTGCATCCCTTTTTTTACAAATTTTATCAGGGGCACCCAACGAGGATATAGTTCAAAACCACTTAACATGGCATTGTTGAACGTATTTTAGTATTCAAACGGTAGATATAGGCATATTTTTATCCCCTAAAAACTTTTCATCTGTTCGAATTTCCTAGCTGAAAGTCTAGTGATCCGAAAATTATAGGGATCAAAACTTACCTTCTCGAAAATTTCAGCCAGGAAAAGGCTCCCGAAAATTCTAGGTGGCCTTTTTTAGGGTCAAAATCCGTTAAAAATGAGTAATTATAACATTTTGTAGATGTTCGAAAATCCTAGGAGAGGCAGGCAAGCAAGAAATTATTTTTACAACAAATGCTCCGAAAATTCTAGATCTCAAATCGTCTTCCGAACAGATATTTTCCCGAAAATTGCCGTTGGGTGCCCCTGTTTTATTAAAGAAAAGTGAAACAGTGGCTGTAAAATTGTGTGGTTACTGAAAAAATATAACATACACTGTACATGTATAGTGTAAAGTAGCCTGCATGATAGATGTTTAACAGGAAAGAGGAAAAGGAAAACTACGAACTAAAAATATACAGTATAGGACAGTATTAAATAAATTCAGATTACGCTGATGAAGTTTGAGATCAGACCGTACCTGTGACCAGTTGGTGCAATAAAATAAAGACAGCAGTGAACTCGACTGTCTGGAACCCTAGGCTTTCGATTGATACTTGTCTCTTCCTTTAAATATTTGTCATACTGTTCATTGATGTACTGCAAGATTGGCTCCCAACTAAACAAGAAAATAACATAAATAAACTATGACCGTAATTTATAACAAAACTGAAAACTTTTAAAAACTTTTAAGTTTTATGATCTTTTCTCTCCTGCCTGCTGTACCATGTACACCAACTGTACATTAACGAACCTCTATGTATTCTAATGAAGTCCGCGGTATAGCGAACGATAATCCTAGTCCCATTGATAGAACGATTTAATATATCATCAAAAGCAAAATACCAGGTGATTTTTCCCATGAAAACATTTATCTTCACATCTAAAAAGATCACTGTTGCTATGGCTTGATATAACGAAACCTCCTTCAAGCAAACATATTTTAATTGTCAGTGTCTTGGCCCTTTGAGGTTCAATAAGACAAGGGCTAAGTTTAAGTTACCTAAATTGTATACATGGTCATTTTTTGGGCGCAATTGATTTAACTATATGGAGTTGGTCTTTTAGTTGTCAACTGGAATCAAGATTATTTTTAGTGCTGAGCATGGAAAGCATAAGCAATCCCTGTTTCCATGAGAACCAAAAAGTTGTTATTTTGTCTGTAGATAAATAATAATTATATTATAGTCTTACCAGCTTTCATTATTGATTTGATCACCAAATCCTGGAGTATCAGTGATCGTTAATTTTAACCTTACACCCTTCTCCTCAATCACTGAAAATCAAAGCAAAACAAAACAACAACAGGACAATGAATACAACTACAACTGTACGCATAAATTAATAACAATAACATGTGTTTGTCAGAAACACACTTCAACATTGCCTGATTCAGACTTCTCAAACTTCCCAAAGATGACCGAACTACACAGTGTCATTTCCAATGAGCAGGGGCTAAACACTTTGGAAATTTACCACTAACACTTTTAAAACACTTTAATTTTTATGTTGTTACTAGTCCAGATGCTCTCTGAGCTACAGGAAACTTGTCACGTTGTGGGAGCGTGTGTAGCTAAAAATGTTGAGGGTAGAGTTTGTGGGTAAATAAAGTATAGAAAAAAATGATTAAGTAAAGTAATTGAAAAAAAAATAGAAAAAAGTTGTAAAATGTTTCTGAAATGAAAATCTCTTTTATTTTTCGCATAAATGCCTTTTTAGTGTCCATTTGTACTTATAAAGGATTGGCTTATTTGCTTTGCTGACCGCAGGGAAGGGGAATAGGACTCATGGTATGTATGTGGAAATTTTCGTTTCATGAATTTTACAACCTTTTCTCTTTTAATTCTTAATTTTTTTTGAAAACTTTTTTGTACCCATAACATTTACTCACACATACCCACGACCCACACCCACACCCACGACCCACAACATTTAGCTACACTCCATGCAAAGACTTCTCATTCTCAGCCTGCGTCACAGATCAGGGCAGCCATACACCCAGTCCCTCCTTTGACCTACGGTGAACATACATTGTAACACTTTGTAATGTACGGTACATGTAGCGGCAATGTAATGTAAAATTCATACCATGACTAACTGACTTGACTTCCACTGACTTAGGGATGGTAGCAGCTGCCCCAGTTGATGACATTCTACTCAAACGCCCTTTAAACAAAGTGTTCACCATAGTTGACTTGCCAAGACCAGTAGCACCTTAAAAACAATACATTTTATCAATAATCAAGTGTACAACAACTAAATTTTGTCTCATTCTTGGCAATCCTGATTGACTGATTTAAGCAATGACAGATTGAATTCAGTGTCACATAAAAATATATAATTTTGTCCCTTATCCTAAATTTAAATGATTTTTCTTAGAAACACTACACTCAAATTCCTATTCATTACTGATAGTAATTTTCAAGCCTGCTCATTTTTCACCTCTCTGTTGCTGTTTAAGTAGCTGCTCATTTTCTTACAATCCTGGGTTGCAACAAACAACAATGCCCTAAATACACTGTACACATAAAGGGGGCTTAGGGGTGTGGTCACCACTTGCTTTAGGTGCACCTTATTTGAAAAATTGATTGAAATTAACAAAATTAATAGACAACAATTATCTATGATGTACACTGTATGTGCTATACATGTACATGTATAATATATATATAGACCATAGAAATGACATCAAAATGTTCTAAACTCAAGTGGAATAATGGACCCCAGGGCCCAGTTGCTCGAAGCATGGTTAGCGTTAACCAGCGTTTAATACCTTGACAACGTATTGGTTTTACTGCTGCTTAACCAATGGTTAAAGCTAACCATGTTTTGAGCAACTCAGCCCAGGAGAGTGGACTGATTCATTGTCAAGCTTTCAGCATGTGATGTCATTAAAATAGTAACAATAACTTACCAACCACCATAAGGTTAAATTCAAATCCACGTTTGAGTGACTTTTTGCGAATCTGCTCCTGCACGGTGTCAAAACCAACATAACCTTCTAAAACTGTCTTTAACTTGCCCCAGTGGGTCATTGCTTGCATCGTCTCCATCATGATTTCTATAAAGTTCTGGTAAGACAGAAGCCCTACGAAACAAAAAATCAGAAAACAAAATTTACTTCAAATGATACATGTACAACATAGAAACTCTCTCATCCCCCTTCTATGACATTAGAAGTGAGAAGTGGACTAGTTACAACTAACTTAAGAGTTATCACTAAAGTAGATTTCAAATAAAAGAATAATGAAGTTACTGATCTGACCTTTTTCAGCCTTGTTTTCAGCTTTGTTGTTAATTGTATCCTTCTCACTCTCACTGAGCTGTGCTCCCAACAGCTGAACAGCAAGAGTTGAAATTGTTGCCACGTCAACATATCCAGTCTCTTCGACATCTGCAAACTTGAACACCTTTGATAAGGCTGGAAATCAAAGCAGATATTTTTATTGTTGTTGTCATAATCAAAGTTGGAAGTGCATGTAAGTGAAATAAAGGACAATACTGACAAACAGAGAAAAAGGTAGGAATTATGACAAAAAATAAGTGCAAACAATATTAATTTTTAGCACATGTTAGACTCAAATAAAGCAGCTTTTGACATTCTGTTTGAGATCAAAACTATTGCTGAAGTGAAGTGACTTCGAAAATGGAGTGCAAAGTACTGGTGGTGTGCTGATCATCAATAATTGATTACAATTATTGAAATCAAACATCTATTGAAATCTGTAAGTGACGTCATGATTGCTTATGGAGAATGCTCAATCCATTATCGCAGGAAAATAAATTCTTGTTGGCAAAAAAATATATATATTAAAATCTTGTGTGTTGTCTTTTCAATAGACTCATAATAAAAAAGGAAGAGAATTTGTTCACCCGAAAGCACAGAAAAATTCTGAGTTCAAACTGAGAATCGAACTCATGACCCTCCTAGGTTTAGAGCTGATGCTCTGATCCCTGAGCTAATGGAACTCTAACGTAAGGAGGGTTGAATCCACTGATGTTCCTCTTCTGATTCATTTCACACGTTGTTGTCATGTTCTAAAACAGTACAGTGGCAATCTGAGTGTACTTCTCAAAAGTCAGAACTGGCCGGCCAAATCAAGACCGAACCAGTCATTTTAAAAGTGAAATAGCTGGCTTTAATTTCCAAGAATCATATTTTTTGCTAGAAACTATTTGCTTCATGCTTGCTATTTAGGATTTGACTGATCTGGTTGGATAGTTTTGATTAAAAGTGAAGTTCTCAGTATAACAGGAATGGTCTGGCTGGTCAATTTTGACACATGGAAAGTGACCTTAAATGGACTATGATCAGATAGGGGTCAATCTGATTATTTCCGATGATCATTATGACATCTCGGCAGACTCTAAACACGACAAAGTACTCTGGGTGAGACTATGGTCAAGTGACAAAATCAACTTCAAAATAGTGTCAGCTTTACTAGATTGATCAGCTATTTAACTTCACTCATTTTTTTACTTCAGAACTAAACATTTACTTAATTTAGAATTGAAGAAAATAAAATAAAAGCTAGTTTAACAAAATAACTTGTTATCATTGCATTCTACTAATTTTATACAGATCACACCATAGGAAGTGTAAGGTTTAGGATAGACTGACAAAAATCATAGGTAATCATCCGTAGTTTCAAATGTAACTAAAAAAACCTAACTTGCTACAATTTCCAAGTTACTTCTACATATGATTATACATACAGTAAGAACAGAAAACCAAACTACGAACAAGAAATAACTAAAATGAAAAGTTAATACACTTTGACAAAATTAGATCATACCAGAACCTAAAAACTTAACCCAAAAAAGCATTTTGCTTTACTTTCTATGTAAAGTTTTTTCACAAATGAAAACAGTTATAACAGTTTTGGGTGCTAAGATGGTGTCACAAAACTGATTTTGTTGCTGCATGTAACAGGAATTATATTCTTTGAATTATGATGAAAACAATATTACTCCATTTTTTAAAAGGGTGGTTTGGCAACTAGATTTACAGCAGCTTTTACCACAAGGTAAACATTAAAATTATGAATATATACGTCTAGCTGAATTTTTGAAAACGTGCCTGAAAAAAGCCCAGAATAGGGCTAGCTTAAGTCTTAAGCTGCCTCTGTCTTATGGGGCCTTAAAGCAGCTAGAAATGGCCACGTTGACAGTTTCTTTTTAGTAGACTTGAACATTTCTTCACTAATCAGGAACCAAGAAGAAAGTCACCTTAGAAGGATTATGGGTTAGAGCTGAATTTCTTTAAAATATTGGCCCCTTTATCTAGAGTTGCCAGCTGGTGCAGTTTTCATAAATTTGGCTAGATCTATGAATTAAAGAAATTGAAAAAGCTATTCTTACTTAGTATTCACCAAACCAAAACCAAGTAAGTCTTTTAGATGTACAATGTATTTAAAAACTAACCAAAACTAATGTTGTAAAAGAATATTGAAAAATTTTGTCTGTATCTCACAACAAACAGATTAACCAGCACAAACTTGCGGCAGGTGACATGTTGTGACACACCCTTTGGTGAAGAGTCAATACTATTTTATTTGAATCACACTCTGAACTGTACAGATTTAGAAGGATCTAATCAAATAAGTTTAAGAAACCAAGATCACACTTGCAGCGAAAACTTAGTTTTTATAAATTAAAAGAATAATTTTAACTCACTATATAACTGTACTCGAGTTGTAGACCGATAACTTTGACAATCCCGTTTTGTTTAAATTAAAATTCTAAATAATACAGGAAAAATCCCACAAAGCCACCCACATCGAAAAACCGAAAAAATTCAGTCTCGACCGGGCAAAATTTTTGACAGTTTTTCACGCGTGCAGAACGCAATGAAAGATCGCGAAAAACAAAACTCCTTTATCGTTCTTTTCTCTGCTTGCGTGAAAAATTAAGAGTGATCACTCTCCCAAAAGCACATGTATGAATGTCTGGGCGTTTATGATACTCACAGTCACGAAAGGTCGACTTGTCCGGAAACGAAGAGGCCATAGGAGAATTCAGTTAAGCTGGATATCCTTTTGACAAAATTCACGAGTTGTTTCTAAGTCACGCGTTTGGGCGTCTAGTTCTAACAATCGACTGTTCGTGAAAACGAAAATGCACGCAAAACAAAACAATGAGTTTGTTTTAAGACAACGACCAATCGTCTGATGATATGGCATCATGAAATTTTAAAGACCATTAAACAATAAAGAATTACATGAGCTATCAAACAACAACAGCCGAGAGTGAATATTCATTTCACTTAACGTAAACTTTGAAAGATATATCTGGGTAGCAATTCTGACTTTTGGACAATTATGAAAGAAAGACAACAAGCAACATCTAATAATTTCACCTGCTTGCTTCTTTGTCAACGACGTGATTTAAGCAGCTCTAATAAAACATGTAAAGCCACACATTCTGTAGTTAATTCCGTGAAAGAATGCATCAAACATATTATTTCAGCTGACTTTAAGTGAACATGACAACTTACAAGACAAATCAATGGGTAAAATAATTGAAGAAACAAGCATAACATACCGTCAACCTGTGCTCCCGTCAGGAGGAATTGCTGAAACGCAGAAAACATTTATCTGTCAAGAGAAAAAGCTACAAAACATGAGACGTATCACAAGTCGTCGTACCTTATCTGAAGAAGCCATCTTCGCCACTGACGCCTCAGTACTTGATACCAGCGGTATGTAAGTAGTAAGTAGTCACCAGGACTTTGCTCTTCTCCCAAAGCAAGAGGGTTCAGGCATTATGCGTGAGTCTCACGCTTGCGGACTAAAGACATCGATCTGACGTATCAAGGAAAATTGGGTCTTTCTGCAGGTGCCGGAAAGCTTTGTATTTTTGGTCACTTGGGATTAGTCTTTATTTGGGGTTGTTTTGTTTCCTGTCTTTTATTACTATTGTATTACGTAATCTGTGCTCCGGTACTCACAGAAGGAACCAGAAAATTTCTCACGCCTGACTTACAAATCCGAACAAACGACGAAAATTCAATTCAATTTCCATGAAAATGTTCCAATAAGGCATTGAATGATGACTTTGCATGTCCCAACGAAATCAAAACACGCTTAAATTGTCGTCTTTTAATCAAATGGCTTCGGAAGTGGTCAAAGTTCGCCTGAACATCTTCCGACGTTTTCGGAAGTCTTCGGAAAATCGTCGGAAATCCTTGGAAGTCGCTGGGACAATTTCGGAAATCCCGTCCATGACAAGGCAAAAATCTCTCAAATCTCAATCTCATTTGACTGGGAAAAAGTTGGCGGGTATGCTACAGGCAGCCATGGGCTCCTGAGGCAGCCGCCCGATGATTAAACATTGGAATGTATTGTGACACTTTACGGTGTGAAGAGTCACATTATATTCCTGGTTTCATTATTGGTTTACCTGTGAGAAGCCTGCAACCTTCCTTGATAGAGGTTATAGAAGAAGAATCCCGAATCAGCTCTTAAGTGATCGTGATCTGAGCTATCCTTTCTTAGAAGCGTTTCTCCTGCTTGTCAAAACAGCTGTCAGTAGTGGTTTGAATTCAACCATTCAATTGCAATTCTAAGGGAACAGACAACAATTGCAAAGTAGCCTGTTTTTGGCTCTAAGACAGTAATGTGCAGCTCACGAGAACTTATACACACCTCCGTCCCCTCCGGGTGGAGGGGAGGGTACTCCGGATTTCAAGTGACAGGGCGGATGGGTCGAAGGATTTTTTTGGTTTGAAATTTCCTATTTCGGGACTTTTTCGGGTAGGAAAATTTTGGCAAGTATTTTTTGGGAAGCTTGATGAGTAAGCAGGGATTTTGGGGGGTATTCAAAATTAAAACAATCTGAAGATTCGTGATAGTTCGCGCGTATCCCGGCCTCGTACATGTAGTTCCGCGAATAAAGTAAAATCAAACTTGTTTTGTGACTATTTTAATATTTAACGCATTACGTTGCATCTTTGTTAATATACCGATCAATCAGAATAGTCTGCAAGGTGTCCTGGGGTGTAAATCAACACTTCAATTCCTTTTTTGTTGTATCCGTTTATCAGTGACAGAAATTTTATGGCTCGGAAATTCGGCATGAGAGTTTTTAAGGTTAAATTTCGGTCCAACGCCTTTTTTGGGTTTTGATTTTTGGCCCCATTCGATCATCCCTGTCACTTGAAGTCAGGAGTATCCCCCCCCCCCACCCCGATTACAGCCCCGAGCTGCGACGCAGGCTGTTACCATGGATGCCCGAACAGAAGCGGCCGACACTGATTCATCCTGCCGCACGGGAGGAAAAAACCTTTGGTCGGTACCCCGTAAATAATAAGAAGAAGAAAACCGCCAACGCTGAAATGCAACATGTATCCGAGGCTTGATTTATAATCTGTATGCATAATCTAGATGAAAACAAAAAATATATATATAATATACATCTACGATAGTTCTTGACTTGGCAACTTTTCCCTACATAACATGTCAATCATATTTAACCCGGCGTTTGAGAGAAAGTTTAATTGATAACTTCTCTTTGGCTATCAGAGACAATTTGCCTATGCTCTCAGCTCGGGGGGGAACACTATTTCAAACCAAAAATGTTATTTTTCATACCCGTATTCAGACCTGGCCTCAAAGAAATTGTCATCATTACTTAGATTAGAACGCCAACAAAAAGGCATGTTTCTCTTTCTTTCCCATTCATTTGGAACTGAAACGATAAATATGTTCATACACTCCCGTCCCGTGGTTCCCTCGAACACAATACCCGTTTCCAGACCAAAACGGTGCAAAAACCCTTTGGGCCGGTACATACTTATATGGTTTATATAAGGGAGTACCCCCCGGGGGTGTCAGTCAGTTGAAATTTCGGCAAGATTTGTAAAACAATTTGTGCGCAGTGAGACAGGGCCATTATCTACCGCGCGTTCGTACTTCATATTTGGCATATGGAAACATTTGGAAAACGCCGATAAAGAAATACAAAGCAATGAATTCTTGTTGACGATGAATTCTTGTTGTCTGCGATGTAATTTTACAATAATGCTGATGAGGGTCATCCTTTCAACACTATTAAACTCACACTTGAGCGTAAGTAGTGAGCATTTTAAAGCACGCTATGTCTTGATTGCAGCTGTACACGCCTGATCGTCTTTATAACAACGAAAATTGCATGAGAGCTATCCCTCGAAGCATGTCAACCCTTCCTTGTCTCAAAGTTCTTCCAGGCAAAGCAATTATTTTCTTTTCAATTTCATCGCATATGGCGTTTCGACGGCGTCTCATAAACGTTGGGCTTGGAAGACAAGGTCTTACTGACTCACTCATTTGACTTATGATTTTAGCATAGGTACACTGGGTACAAGAATCAGTCAGTTTGCACAAATCCTTTTCGCCACTTCTGTTGATCCCTTGAAATGTGGTATTCCCTGTCGAGCTTGTTCTTCTTAAGCTGCTCGAGCTGTGAGTTTTTTCTACCAGTACTTCAGAGTTATGGTCAGAGATAAGTAACCATTTTGTTTCATCGCAAGTTGTCTTTCGACCAAAATGTCTTCCACGACCTCTGAGGAGACGGCCCTTAACGAAGCTGCACATGATGTTCAAATTCTGTTCCCCAATTGATTATACGTCACTTGTGACATCTTCTGATACGATATTGTTTCGTTTGGTTTTGACAAGAAAGTTCCAACAGATGACAACTGGCTTTAAGTTTATGTAAATTGACAAATATAACTGGTGCGAGCTGATTCTCTATTTGAGTTGTTCTTTTTGCCTTGTACAGTATGAGCCAATGACTGGAGCAAAACACACTGAAGACGTCGGCGTGGAGCCAAGTTAGTTGCGTGAGAATTCTATCAGCAATAAGTGACCTCGGAGCTTCTTCCTTTCACAAAGCTGAAACAGAAACTTATGCATTAACGACGCGAATGTTTTGAACATAAACAATCAACAAAGCCCGCTTCCGCTCGATAAAAGCTGTATAACAAAGCAAAATAAAGGTATGAGCCGCCAACACATGTCGCGGCAAGATGCACTGCACGGGACCCTTCTATAAAGGCTGTTCAACGTGCATGTAACTGACTTATTGGACTTACACTGCGGGCAGGTTAAGAACACAAAGTCTGCATTGCGTAAATCCTGGTTGAAACAATTTTACTCCGCGCTTCACGGAGAAGAGAAGCTACAATTGCTGCTAGAAACAGGACACTGATATCTCCGATGAGGATGATTGTCAGATTTGTGCCGTGCGGCAGCGTATACTTAAGTAATGTGATCATCACTGTAGTAATTAGCTTTGTACTTGAAAACACATTCTCTAAAAATGCCTTCATGGCAACATGTGAACTGGCTAAAACAGGGGCACCCAACGGCAATTTTCGGGAAAATATCTGTTCGGAAGACGATTTGAGATCTAGAATTTTCGGAGCATTTGTTGCAAAATTTCTTGCTTGCCTGCCTCTCCTAGGATTTTCGAACATCTACAAAATGGTATAATTACCCATTTTTAACTGATGTTGACCCTAAAAAAGGCCACCTAGAAGTTTCGGGAGCCTTTTCCTGGCTGAAATTTTCGAGAAAGTAAGTTTTTATCCCTATAATTTTCGGATAACTAGACTTTCAGCTAGGAAATCCGAACAGATGAAAAGTTTTTAGGGGATAAAAATATGCCTATATCTACCGTTTGAATACTAAAATACGTTCAACAATGCTATGTTAAGTGGTTTTGAACCATATCCTGGTTGGGTGCCCCTGCTAAAACAACTGAAATAATTCCACTCATAAAAAGCAATTCTTAGAGCGGGAACTAAGCGACTCTCGCAAGTCATTTAGAAAAAAATTCACTATATATACTAATTTTAAAGTACTGTTTGATAGCTTTCAGTAGCTATAAAATACTCTCAAAGATTTCATCGGCATTAGCACAAAATCATTTGGCAAAATTGAGAAACTTGATCTAATAAATGGGGAGCTAAAAATAATAAAAAGAAAAGAATTTTACTTACAAGTTGATCGCTGGGTAATTCGTTTAACTTGTCAGTAGCTAGTCACGTTTGTATTTCTATCATTGAACCAAGCCGATAACATTCCATTATATACAGTTATATGCTGCCCAGACTACGTAGTTCCGTTGACGTCATCACGACCAGCAACGTGATAAACCGGCTGTTGTTGACTTAGAATAATAGATATGAAAGCTATGCCTGGAGCTTCAGTAGTGATCTCTCAAGCACGTATGCCATTATGCTTGCCTGTTTCAGTGTGTTACACACTAATCTCCTTGTGGACTCATTTCAAAGGGATATTTAAGGAAAATCCATCAGTGTTCCTCTGCCGTGTCAGATCTTCCCGTTAGCACCGTTAGACGTCATTTGTAGCAATCGTCATAAACAGCTGTCGCAATTTTTATTAGGCAAGGCTCTGTCGGATTGTCATAAAAAAGGTCGTCAAAATATTTTACAAGTAATAAAATTCCAAATTAGGTTTGTTTGATTCCTCGTAATATTGCTAAAATTACTCAAATCAAACCGGTCCACTATTTTGAAGGTCCATAGAAAATAATACAAGCGTCTATACCCCAAAGGTTTCCATTTGTTTTGTCTATGCCTTGGGGATCCTGTTTACTCTTTGTGGGCAAAACTGTGCACCGGTACACCTGGGTTGTAACAGAATATCAAATATATGAATGTCGAAACTGTCTTGATGGGAAAACAAGGGGCACCCAACGACTGCTTTCTGTAAAATATCTGCTCGGAGCGAAACAAAATTAAAAATAGAGAGATTAAGATAGACGTTTACGCCAAACAGCAAACTTGAATTTGCACCACACGTGACCAAGTTTTCCCCTTAATTGTCGTAAACTGTTTCCTATTTCTAATCAAAAATAAGTAGTTTCACGCCAGTTTTATCCAAAAGAATTGTTCTGGACAGTTTTTATCTGCTTATTTTCTATTTTGAGAAATTCTCAACTTGAATCCCACTTTTGCGGTTTGCCGTAAACGTGACTCTTAATAGGGACCTTTAGCATCAGGTTCTTCGTGGGAAACGGCAAACCGCAAACCGCAAAATGTCACGTGACCAAGGCCTTGCGGTCACGTTTGCAGTTTGCAGTTTACGTTTGACCCGCAGGAAGGGCTTCCAGCGGTAAGTGATTTACGGCAAGGTTTTTTGCTACAAAAAATTGTACAGCCTCGCGTTTAAAGGTATGAACTAGCTTTTTGTATCCGTTTGCGATGTGTTTGTCGGATTTTTGATCTCGAATCAATGAATTATTGCTGAGTTTTGGGCGATTAAAGTGATGCACTTCGACTTGATGAAAACAACATGGCGGCCCTAAACAATGAACGCGTAGTTCAAATCAATTTTATATTCCTTTCTGCCGTACTAACAAAGGAAAGTATTCTGTTCCAATCCAGAGTTTAATTTTTGTTTCTATCTTGTTTCTGAATTCATAACTTAACTCAGTCTCTGTTTGGTTCCTATTTTTAACGTATCACTCCGCGAATATCATTTTATTTTCCTTATCTCTTTTAGACTGGGGAGCCCAGGCTTCATAAAACCTTCTGGTTTCCTCTGGGCTCCCTTGCAACCTTACAATTCCTATATGTATTCTTATATTGTACTGTATTTTGGCTAAATAAAAATGAACTGAACTGAACTGAACTGAACGCCTTGCTAAAGTTTGAAATCTCGGCAACGCGAAACTGCAAACGCGTAACTACGGTTTGCCGTCTGCGGTTTGCGGTTTACCTGATGCTAAAGGTCTCTAGATTGTCTAAAATTTTCTACGGCTTGAGGACGGGTAAATGATTCATGTACAATTTTCGAAGCTAATCTAATAAATTCCCTACAATTTCCGATGTTTCATTTATCACATTTTACTCCCCTAGTTATGTTATTTTTCGTCCAAAATGGAAACCTAAAGTAAGTTGGAAGTCGGAAATCGACCTTCCTGGGCTTTCGTAGTTGAATTAGACTGCGAGCAGTCTCTTATTTTTCTTTGCAAAGTTACTGCACGCGAAACTAAGCACGCGACGCGAGCCGCGAGAAACGAGGGCGTTAGCCAGAGAAGAAAACATAAGAGCAGTCCGTCTTTTCTCGTCTCGTCTCAGTTGTAATAATAACTTCATGGTTTGCAATCGCGCTGGATGAGATAAGAACTAGACGGACTTTAAGAGAAAGGACGGACTGCAAGCAGTCTATAGTTGAATCGCTTTATGTGACTGTAATTTATACTGAAGAAAGTGATGAAAAGTCCGAAGTCTGAAGTCAGAGGTCGGAAGACCCTGCTCGTCTTTAGACGGAGAGAGGAATCAGAATAATTCTCACTTTCGTAAAACGTTAAAATGCATCCAAAATCTTCGGGAAAATAATACTGAACGCCTTGTAATTTCGAAAAGACCCTAGTTCCCCTAGGATGACCGAGCAGATACAAATCTTAACTACACCTCTTAGAATGTATTTGTACAGATCTAAAACTACTCTGGATGGCCTAAAAAGTGTTTTCAGTGTATTTAGGAGAGAATCGTCGTTGGGTGCCCCTGGAAAACCACCTTATTTTGGTGACCTCTTCGTCAGTGTTATGTTGAATGGGTAAAGTTGGGGTCAGCCATGCCAAACACGTGGAAGAGTAGCCGGGACCAGACAATGCATGATACCTGATGGTAGTCCTTATGTTACGTCGGCTGGTAACTTGCAGTACTCATTAAACTGACATTAAACCTTAGGTCGACGAAGCGCGCTCATTTTTTCTCCCTCTCTCCGACAATGCTTCTCTTTTAAAGTCTCTGGGCCCTTTCCATTTAGTCAAAATTTCCGGAATTTCCGGTTCGGCGGTAAATGGAACACGTTTCGTCGGTTCGTCCCACTGGAAAATTTCCAGAAAAAGTGGAAAATCTAAAAAGGTGGTCCCGTTTTCCCGGTTGGAATTTCCGAACGGAATGTCGTGTTCCATTTACGTGTCTCGTAGTTTGTACTAGTTCCAGGTCCACGGTCGGGCACCGCCACGTACCGAGGTTTACGACCAAATGGAACAACTTTTTACCAATCGGAAATTCCACTTTTGCTACCAACGAAATTTCCGGGTTTTTTTCGTAAATGGAAAGCGCCCTCTGTTTCTTGTGTTTCCATTTTTATTTAGTAAAATAAACCCCCTCCGGCGGCGGCTTGGATATCGGCGATTTTTCGAACAAAACAAAAGCATTAGGCGAGAAGCTTCGAGGGTAAAGGGAAAGGTAAAAGCTGAAAGGGACTAACTTTGTTGATTTTGTTATGTTTTCTTGAATTGCGACCGAAAAATTGTAGGGCAAATATCGGCGCAGACTCGGTAAATTGCCTTACATTTACCACCACGTGACTCAAAATAAAGTATAAAAAAATCGCGCAAATAGTTATCGGTGGGTTATGATTTATGATAAAAGTGATCTTCTCAGGAAATAAACTTGTATACTTAATTTAATATCTGTTTTTCTTTTTTCCTCTAGTCCTGTTAGCAGCTTTCTTGTCAATTACTGTGTGTGTCTACTGCTCACCACAACTGAAAAATTTGACCTCATTGACTGAACTGAGCTGAACCGTTGATTTACAATATACTGAAGCGATTGCTTCGATTGAATAATTTTGCCTCATGTACATCTAGCTGTCCTTGTGTAAGTTATTGCACTCGACTTATAGCTCTCAGATGTTCATCTAGTTTAGGCCTGTACCGTTACTAAAATCTATCTCTATTCAACGAATGCTTTCTAAGCAACTGTTTGTTTACGTAAACGACTTTAATACGTCTGCACTGTTTTGTTTCGATACCCTGACCGTGAAAAAATGAGAAATTATCACGATGATAAACAATGATGTGTTATTGTTTTCTGCGGCCAAAGAGGAAACACCTTACGAGCAGCTCCTACATCTGTGAGAAATTAACGCAGCTGTCGGAACTTGGACTCTTCCCTCACAAATGCATCTTTCACGTCATATCTTTGTAAAAGTGCAAATTTTCATGCTCTAAAGCCGTAGATAGGATCTCCAATAGGTTTTTCGGGATCCTGGATTTGCCTTAATTGAAGGTCAGGATTCGGGATTTCAAAGCAAAATAGGGACGAGGTAAGGACGAGATGCGGGATGCGGAATGCCGTAAATCAGCCTCGGCATTACGGGACTGAGAGAAAATTTGGTTCGGGGTTTACGTCAATAGTCTAATTTCGCAAAATTTTTGGCCCAGATTTTCGTCTGCTTTAAACAACACTTCACCCCTCTCGGTACACGGAACCCCCTTGAAGGCTATGAGGGAAAATGATTCAGTAATTTAAAACAAAGAAAAACAACGTCGTTTTGAATTCCATCGGCAATTTTGGTACCCTAGTTAATCACAGAAACATTGCGCCGACAAGGTCTTAAACAGGTTATTATAAATGGAGAAGATTTTTTTTTCTTCTATTTGGGCAAACACATG